ACGAAAAAGGGGTCCCAAACACTCCAAATCTGTTTGAGGCGGTTGCCGAACACCACACAAACGAAACAACAAAACCAAACACAACACCGTCGAAACATCCGAAACCGTCATCGTCGAAGCCAAAACTTGCAGTAGGTGAGATACAATGTCGGCATAGAACGTATCCATCAACAACCTCAACCGAACCCCCATGAAAATTCAAAATATCATCACCCCCATGGACGTCATTATCCCACCCCCCCCCCCCCCCCCCTTAACGCCCAAAAAACCCCCCCCCCCTATTAATAAACCCCGCCCCCCCCCCTGTGTTTAGTAGGGTCCTAGGTCCCCCTGGGCGTGTCTACGCTATACGTGTGTAGCACCTGTTCTTGTACATACATTAGTCTGTAGCTCTTCAGTCCGCTTTCGACATAATTCATTTGGCTCAAGGCTCAAAACTTAGCAGCCCAATACTGCATTCACTGCCATAGAAAAGGTGTGCTTCGCCGCAGCTCGCACACTGACCTTACGTGTTTGCCTGCTTGGTGTTTCGATCAGGTCCAGTTATCCAACTGCCACTTCTGGGGGAACTTACCCCTCAAAGTGGTAGCGGAGCTTGTGTCTCCTGCTTCGCATTGGTCGATTTTGCCTTCGTGCCGAATCGTCCGATATTCCGGACAGGGGACAACCAAGTAAGTCACTTGTCAAACAAATAGACCATGGTCCAGATCTTTAACATAGATACGGACGAAGAGCATGACAGCGACCTATCTGAAGTAACAGATCCAGAAGAAGCTTTCGCAGCTCAGGGTTCGCGTCATCGCCAACAGCATGGAAGGTCCTCGAGTTCGACATACCGGACGTACGAGGCACAACCATCAGCAGTTATCAAGATGACGCCAAAGATTCCTCCGTCATTCGATGGACAGTCATCCTGGTTCGAGTTTGAAGATTTGATTGATGACTGGGTGAACATCACCACATTAAGCGCCGAAAAATTAGGCCCATCATTGAAGAACGCTCTAACCGGAAACGCCGAATACTACAAGAAAATGCTCGACAATGAACAGCTTCGTCATGAGAGAAACGGTATTACGTATTTCAAGGAGACGTTGCGCCCATACTTTGTCAAGGGAGCAAACCATGTTTTTCTTTTGGCGTTTCATGCAGCTCTTCAGGACCTGGCGCGGAAACGGGGAATTTGTCAGCTGGATCGCTCGTTTTGAAGTCGCTAGCAAGAAGGTCATGGAAGCCTTCATGGGCTTGTTAGATCTTTCGACTGTTCCACAGCCTGATGATTTCAACTTTACTGATATCCTCTCGCAACAGCAGTACATGCTACTTCAAGGACTTCAAGATCCTGCAGAAAGAAGAGAAAATGCAGAAAGAATCCGTTCTGAACACATTGATGCTTTGAAACAAGCACATCGTGACACCTTTCCATTGTCTGACAACTTGATGTCACTTATCTTCTTAGTTCAGTCGGATCTCAATGAACAGCAAAGAGAAAGGTTTGTAGCCAGCATGGCCTTGCGTCAGATCAACATGAACAACTACACATACCTAGGTGTCAAAGGCTTATTCCTTGATCTCTTTTGCGGAACCGCCACAGGAACTGCCGATCCTTCGATCCGCAGGCAAAGAAGATCCACTTTCCTTGTCCTCGATGAAGGAGACTTGGAAGAAGAATCCGGATACTGGGTGATGGATCAAGAAACAGGCGAAGAAGGATTTGTGAGTTTGTTCTCAGAGTCCGAATTTTGGGTGTTAGCAGCCAAAGGAGGATACACCCGTAGAAGAATCCATGGTAGAAGGTTCAGAAGGCAAAGGTAGAAGGAAAGGTAAAGGCCGCGGCAAAGGAAAAGGCCGCGGAAAAGGTAGAAGACCCGGCTTTGTCAGCCGTAGAGGCAAAGGTGCAGGGGCACATTATGCAGAGTACCCTGACAACTCAGGTTTCTATGGAAAAGGCAAGAAAGGAAAGAAAGGTGGAAAGAAAGGATTCAAGGGAAAAGATGCATTCAAAGGCAAAGGAAAAAGCAAGCAACAGAATCCCTTTCAACAATCCAATGTTGCAACCACCGAAGAGCCTTCATCAGCTCAACCATCCACTAATGCCGAAGAAACCTGGAGTGCGCATGAAGCAAATTGGTCATGGGACTCGTACGGATATCACACAGATCAGTACTATCCTGAAGATGTCTGGCAGGCAAATGAAGCCACTTGGCAACAATGGACATACTTTGCGGACGGACAGACGGACAGACCGCAAGATGAAGAGCACCAGAGCTCAGAGCGAGAGCCTGACCAGATGAACCAGTCAGCAGATTTCCGGTATTACGGAACACATGCAGAAGAAATGACTGGTGTAGAACATGTTTCACAGCCGTATCACCTAAATCCTGCCGGTAGCAGTACAGACTACCGACATTCCGGTTGTTCTGAAGTGATTGATCCACGCTTCTGTTCTTCCTTTGTCAACTTTGACGATGGATTTCACCATGCTTTGCTTTCTGAATACATCGACTTGAGGTACAGTCCGACCTACGTGATCATTGACAGCGGCTGTACCAGAGCAATGGGCTCAAGGCTCAAGACTTGGGGGAACTTACCCCTCACCCCCCCCTATTAAAAAAACCTCGGTCGCATTTTTTCTAATAGGGGGTCCCTGAAATCGGGGGGGGGCAAAATAGGGTCACCTGGAAAGAGTTTCAAAACCAAAAAGTAATCCAGGAAAATTTTATATAAAATCCTCTATTAAACTCATATCAAAAATGCAAAAAACCGCCAGATCGAAGGGTCTTCTTCCTTTTCCCCTACAAAAACCTTCATTAGAATAGTGATTCTTCAGTAGACTAACAGCTAAAGCTTTCGAAAGGTGATGTCGCTGTGCCATGCGGTGTTGCATGACCTCGGTGGCAAGTGCGTTTGCGTGAGTCCGTGCCATTGAGGGAAGGAAAGCCTGCTGGTGTAAGCGCGGCGTGTCATGGTGGAGTTTTGGGGAACCTAATAAAAAAAACTACCCCCAAAATCGACCATGTTGGTAGTTTAGTAGCGGTTTGAAAGGGCGGCAATTTAAAACCAAATATCAACCGAATTTAGGGGTTCGGACGTGGTGTTTTTTTAACTGGGGAGGGTTTATTAATAGGAACTCGGGATTAGTTCATCAAACATTCTTGTAACATGGACGTCATTACCCCCCCCCCCCCCCCCCCCTCCCCCCCCAACCACCCCCCATTGAAAGTCTAAACTAACGTCTTAATATCAATTCTATAACATCAACCTCATCACCGTAACCTCAAAAACGCACACAGTCAGCTCGAAAACGCACGAAGAAGCAGAAAACCAGGGGCCCTATTATGACCGTGTCTCCATCTACATATATATATATACACACTATATATACATATATTCCATCATGTTTCAATCCATTTGGAGGTCTTCTCTTCCTTCGATCGAGTGCAGTTCCTTCGGTTTTCCGGTCCCCCGTTCCCACGGAGGTGAAAGCTCAATCACGAGTGGACGGTCAGAGCACTGGAGGGCACTGCGGAACCAACGCTGCGGAACCTAATGGCAAACTATATTAGACCTTTCTTCATTTTCTTTGTTTCTCATAGCGATAAACTCCAACCTACAAGCGATGGCCTCCAACCTAATAGCAATTTGTTTACTTTGCGTAAACATCCGAGGCACAACAACAAAAATATCATGGGAGATCGTTTGGGCGCCGCTGTCATACCTTGAGGAACCCAGCAAGGTATGAGTAGAAACCAGTCTGGCAACGAAGATGGCTGTACAACATCTGTCTGGAAAAGAGGCTTGCATGCAATCGTCATGCCATTTCCAGGTTTAATTCCGGGCCATCATGAGGACCATCAGCAGTCATTCTATGTCACTGCTGACCAAAACTGCTCAGAAGAATTCGGCCGACGAAACTGGCTCAGACCAAAGCCTCTGGCCAAGCCTTTTCAAAGGTCAGCCCCAAGATGGAGGTTTGTAGCAAGTCAAAATATATGATTTCAGCCACATCTTTGCGAAGCGCAGCACCCGGCCCGACTCAACAAGTCATCGAGTAAAACATGTTCTTTTACTATCTTTTACTCAGCCCTCACTCATGGCAGTCTATATCATTATAGGGCGTATATCGGAAAACAAGGGTTTGTCCTTTTCGATGGGAGGGCCCACACCCAGTCGTGTTCATTCTGAAAGACCGGCACAAATGCATCCGATGTCGCATTGGTCAAGTCTATCACCTTGTTCCCACATGAGCAGGGAATATTGGCTCATCGACATACCAACATAGACATATTTACTGTGCCAAATGCATCTGGAAGAGGGTGAGAAAAACCCGTCGTCCAAAGAGACGATGCACTGAACATGCTTTGCGCCAGTGCGATCGAGCGCATCCTACTCCAAACCTCCTTCTTCACCAAACATTGAAACATATTTTGATGCCCACGCATCCTTTGCCTTCTTTTGGGCCAGCATGTGTAAAAGCACCTGTCCAACACTCGGATGACAGATCTACGGATAATCTACGTGTGTCACTTTATCTTCCCCAGACTCCACTTGACCCTCCGCAAGAAAAGTCCTTGGCGCAAATCCCAAAGAAATCCAGCCGGGAACTTTTCGTCAATCCCATCAAATCACATCATCAAAGCAAGAGAACCACCACTTGGGAAGTTTGCCAAGAGTTTTGTAGAGCAGGGATACCCCTCGAATCGAAGCTTGTAGCGCCCATGCCCCCCCCAAAAAAGAAGAAACCGGCTTCCGTCAAAGGCATCCTCCCGAGCCTGAGGGCATCCATGCTGGTTTGACAAGATGGTTACGGTATCCCGGCCAATATAATATAAACCAACAACAGGTCTTGAGTAACACGTCAGTCTTTCTTGAACCAGAAACTTGGTGCTTTCTTCAGCGTTCCAAGGCGGAATGCGTCGCCAAAATGGCAGCTGTTGGACCCTGGAGAGAGGTGGCCCGATCAGCTCAATCACCCTTGTTGCTGCTGCTGTTGTGGCTGCTGCTCAGCCTCGCGACCGGCATGCGGCATGTCCGAACCGTCCGTCCACCAGACTCACCCAAACGCTCCTTTCCCTCACAGGCCTCTCCCTCACGGTCTCTGAAACTGGGAGTTGAGAAACTCAGACCCCCTCCATGGATTCGGGTGGACCATACTGATTGGAGGCTCCAGAAGGCTCGCGCCCGCACCTTCCTTCCAGAACATGTCTTCGCAACCGGTCCAAAGGAAGGAACCGGTCCTAGTCGTCCGCAACGGGCGGTTGGTCAAAACCGGTGGACCGACCGGTTGACCACCCAATGAACAGTTGGTGGACGGCCTACAAGGGCAGTCCGCACGGTACACGGTGTTGGGGGTCCAAGATTTGGACCCACACCATCCCACGGCAAATATAGCCTATAGCTGTTCTGATTCGGAATCAACTCTTCGGCAGCCCAAAAAAAGCTTGGCCCCTCCATTCCCAACAGCCCTGGCCCTCATTGGAGACATCACTGCGGCCCATGGCACGTGAAGTCACTGTCGGTGCCTTTCCCCTTGAAGTACTTCCCCAAGGTTCTCTGAATCCTCAGTACTCAGCCCACAGCCAAACACAATTCATCTTGTGAAACAAGGTTGAAAGACTGGAGCATCTCTCATGTGTGCCGTTCATCCGTCAGAGAGTTCATCCCTCAAAGGGCAGTTCCAAAAAAAAGGATTTGAGGCCAAAGGGCAGTCCACCGGAAACTCTCCTCCAACAGCATCCACCCAACTTCACGAGAATCCAAAAACTCTCTCAACTCCGCTGCCCTTTTTACGTGAGACCATTTCCACAGGATGACCAGAGATGACCAGAGTCGGTCTAGTCGGTCTAGCTTGACTTGAATTCAGTCAGTTTGTCCTTCCTCCTACCTGTGGCCGTTCCCTATATTAGGGCCAAAATCATCCTCCAGTAGACAGACTATGGGACAAACCAAACAATCAAAGGACACTTGGTACTATTTGTTTGGAAGTGTTCCATGTCTTCCATATTCACTATATATATTCTATCTATATACTCAGTTACTCCAGGATGACCATACCACCATCCGAGCCACGTCCTTTGGATCATCCTCAGCTGTGCACAGAAATCCGCTGGGAGGAAGAGGGAGGGGCATTCCAAACATATGTCGTCAAAGTGAAGTACTAGCAAAAGCTGGGAGTGTTAACTTTTTGAGTAGATACTGGCCCTGAATTGAAGGCTCAGGAGCACATGGGATGACTGAACGCTGCAGTGGGTTTTCCTCATAAACAGGGTGTGAGGCTTCATTCCCAGTTATATGTGGACACCCAGCATAAACAAAACAACATGGTGAATTGGTGACTGGTGACCCAGTGATTACAACAAACCGTAGGGTGACATTGCCCGAAATATGCCGCTTCGTGCCAAGTATTCAGGCCATGAATGGTCATGTCAGTCTTCTCCTGCAAAGTCGCAGGGCAGTTCCAACACAGGTTCAAAATCCCTATACTGTATAGACATCTATAGACTATCCCATAGGTACCCCAGGTGACGGGTTCTATAAGGTCACATAAAACCTCTCCTGGTGCTTCCTACAGCCACTGTCAGGTGATCTGCCGACTTCGACGGAATCCTCAAAGTCGACGGAATGCACTTTCGGACGCTGCCGATTCTTCAAGTTCAGGTCGGAACAAGGTTGCCTGGTCCAAACTGCGCCTGCCTGGTTGTGTTGGGTCTGCATGTTAAAGTTGAGGTCAATTGGAGGAAACAGGAAGCATGTCTAAAAAATTCAATTAGGGGTACCGGGTATTGTATAAGTGGAGTTCTCCGTCCAGGGCTCTTCCTTGTCCAAGATTCGCATCTTGATTGTCGGAATCCGCATCATGCTCCTTATCCGGCCATGGCAAGGAGGGATCCGTGTGCCCTCCGAAGCGGATGATCTGGTCCTGCAAGAACACCGAGAAGTGGGTGTTCATGTCTCAGAATTCAATGTAGACTCTCCAATGATAATCCCCCCTATGTAAAGGCTTTACAATCCAAATGGGGTAAAAGCATTAAGCACCATACACGAATTGCATGGGACTGGTACTGCTACTACTCCATCTCTCACAGGAAAGGAGTAATCGGCCTACCCTTCGACTCCACGACCACACATAAGACCCTGCAAACACTTACAGATCGTCAACGCAGAATCTTGGCACTCACCATGACCGCTGGTTGGCAGTCAAATGGTGCTGTGGCCATCTGGAATGAGCAGCAAGACCCTACATGCCCATGGTGTGGGGCATATGACACACATACTCATCAACCGTTAGATTGTCCTACATTTCATCATATTCGTCAAATGCACCCCGACGCTGTAAAACACATTTCGCAACACCCACATATTTGCTGGTTCCCGTTACCCACGCATTCCCCGCATGTCGAATTAGTTCGGCAATCCATGCACCACAGACATCTTACAAGCTCAAATAACCCCATAGGAAATTTGCCTGAGAAATCACTATTCAATATTCTATACTGATGGCTCTTGCGACGCACCGCGCGACCCGTTCGCTGCCCGTGCTGCTTGGGCCGTGGTTCTCAAAACCGTTTCGCCAAATTGCACTGTGGAACATTTCTTACGAGTTGTTGCGACCGGTCACCAAACCAACAGGGCGGAACTGTTTGCTTTCTGCTGTCGAAACCGCAGATGCGACCGATAACGACCCCTCCGTTGCATTTGGCACTGACTCCCAATAATTAATCTTATGGACAAAATTGAGACTCAGTTAATCGAGTCACACCCTCAGGAGCATGATCACCTTGATCCATAGATTAATGGCAGTTTGGGGCCCGTATAAGTACTTTGCATTTAATTTTTAAAATCAAGTCGCACCTCAAGTTGGAAGATGCCCGCCCGCAATGAAAAAGCGTTGTGGGACATTCAAGGAAACGCATGTGCTGATGAAACAGCAAAACAATCTTGCGCCACAGATGATGCAGAGTTCTCTGAATTGTGCCACGCAGTCCGAACACATTATGACCTCCAGCGCCTGAAAGAGTTTTGCGTATCTGTCAGACATTGCCCATGCTCGCATGGCTCTCCCCAAGCGCATATGATTTCCAAGACACACAAGATTCCTCTACCTCAGTTCAGGGTAGAACCACTCCGCAACTCCGCAGAAATATTGAAACATTCTCATCATGGACCATTACTGGTGATGCCCATGAAATGCCTCCGGAACCCACCCCACCGTTTTTTGGCCTTGTATGTGGGGTGCCAATTATGCCCGGCTCGTTTGGACATTTTGTACAAAATTGCGCCGGCCGGCAACTCAGACACGCAACACGTGCAAAGATCCTGGAAATTCGTTGGTGGAACTCGCAATTTCATTCATGTTATGGTCAGAGTGGACTTTGCCGGTTAAGATTCCGGAAGGCGATTATCTTATCGCATTACCTCTGACAAATCCTAAAGTCCAGATGCAACCCCCCAAAAAGAGATCCCTAAGGATAAAGGCAGAATCGTTTCGTCTTATAATTAAGCATTTGCAAACTTTCTCACGTGCCAAGTTCATCCCTGCCTATTCCAAACAAGGTAGGTCTAGCCTACAAAAATTGCGTTTCACAGCTTATCATGAAGCAGGTGTTTCCCGCCGCCCAGTTTTGCCAAATGCAAAGGCCACATATGCGTTCATCCACGATATGATTTTGATGATCCCACATGAGCCACCCTTTCATACTGAATTTCCCGCACCAATGTGCTCGGAGAATTCGAACCCCGAACAATGGCCAGACTGGCCAGAAATGTCGCCCAGCAAAAGAGACCAATTCACACAACATATTAGATACGCTCTGTTTCGTAAGAAGAACCTCGACACCATCATGCATCCTGGCCCCAATTAGTCGTAGGACTTTTGCAGCGCTCTTCAAATTAGTAATTGCCGTGACCCGGTAATTACAACTCTTTTTACCTTCCTGTTCGTAGCTTCCTGGTTCCCCGCCTAGTGGATTGTTTGAATTGTTGAACCGGTGTCACCTTACCATCCCACCTGTACCGCCAGAAAACCTGCCAAGGGATAGTGTGGGGGCGCGTCTTTGACCATCCGCAAGTCCGTGAATCCAAATGGGGTGAGCCACTATACTACCCAAGCCTTCCCGGGGCGTGGCTGTCGTCACAACCCCGATGACGCGGATTCGGGCACCACCATGCCCTGCGCGCGCACACATGGCCCAATGTTCCACTTGGACAACACTTTGTTGTGACTAGTCTTTCCAAATGGTTTCTACTCCATTTTTCCTTAGCACTCCAGTGCAGACTGACGTACAGAAGCGTGTGATTCACCATCGATCAGAGGTCTACAGCCTGTCTCCTGTAAGCCTCACAACAGTAGATGGTCAAAGGCCATTTCTTAAGTTTGGTGTTGCATCTTGCATTGTGATCTCAAGACAGGGCCCAATTCAGCGTGCCCACTCCGTGGAGCATTTTGCAGTTGCCATCGTCCGACAGTGTACGTGTGTACATGCCCTACCTGTATTAATCACATTAAGTGACAAGGGGCGGTTGTGGGCGCGCAGAACCGCGAGTACGTGCATCCAAATGGGGTTGGTTCTATTAATCAAGATTCGACATTGTAATTAGGAGGAGAATTTGAGAGTTTGGGACTTGCTGCAACCAAGGTGCACAATCGCCGGATTAGTGCACCTTTTTTGCAATGATGAACCCTTCTGGCGAAAACATGCTGGCATGAGTGCTTTGTTTGTTTTTCTGTTTTTTTTCACTGCTTAATTCCATGTGAAAAATTTATTAGTTTGTTTGTTCCTTTCTATAATGGACAAGTCCTGACTGGACCATCAAAAGAAAACGATATTTCCTCACATCGCTCCATCAAGATGCTCCAATAAGTCATACTCAAGGTAACCAGGAACTTAGCAGCTTTCGCAGCCTTGCGCCAAGTTCTCAAGGCGCCTTGTGAGCACGTCAGGTTTGTCCGGTTAACCAACCATGCGTCACCATATGGGCGGCTGTCAAAAGTCATTTTCCCAAAAGTGACGATTTTGCTTAGATGGGGGCCCGAATCCAAATCCCCTATATGATTGAACTATATTAAGTACACATTCCCTGCACTTTTCCATTCAGAGCCCGCGGAGTCTAACATGACGAGAGGACCTAGCGAAGGGATGTCGATGTCCTCTGATCAGAGACTCTGGTAAGTGCACACTGCAGCTCAGCAAACAAGAATATGTAGGTATGCAGATGTAGAACATGGAACGACCACCAAGAAGTCAATCGAGGTCGCAAGGGGCACTGTTACAAGGTCAACAGCGGAGCTGGGTCACCTCGCCGGAAAGGCCCCTGTGGCACAATCTCTGCACTTTTCCATTCAGAGCCCGCGATCGCGTGCGGCCAAGCACGAGATCGCCGCGCAACAAAGAAAACAAAACTGGAGTACATTTCACAAAATCTTAGCAAAGCATCACGAAAACTGGTACACCTCTCAAGTGCGTGTCACGGCCATTGCAGCAGGTGGTTTTGTACACTTCTCGACACATCAGAATCAAAAAAGGAGAAAGCAACTGTGTCATCTGAGGCCCGAGCTGTGGCATGACCGAGGTCAAAACAAACCAAACCCGAAACCAAAAGGCAAGGGCAAACACTTGAGGAACTGCAAGACATAGTTAGCGCGGAGGCTGGCGATGCGCGCTACTGGATTCTAGCAGTTGCCTGACTCTTGCTGCCAGTGGGCTGGGAAGACTGGACCCAGAGCTTCATCAAGCATAAAGAAATACATGCTATATAAATATATGATATATATATATATATGTTAATGCTTGTCAAGCTGAGTCAACATTAGATGAGCCGTGTACCACTGACTACGAAGCGCACCGTCGTCTAGCGTGGTGCTAGCACGGAGCTAGCGCGCGGCTAGCACAAAAAATGCTGGTACTCGAGTGAGTGGGTGAGTGTGTGAGGAAGGGACAGTGTGAAGAAAGAAAGGAGGACAAGAAGGAGATGAACAGAAGCAAAATTATTTGGCAACACACACTTTGACAATGGGCTTGCAGTTATATAACTCAGTTCCCACGAAAAACGGAAGCAAACCACAAGGCGGCTGGGTCAGTGGAAGTGAAGGTGTTTAACAAAAAGGTTTGCATGACTGCGGACTCTAGTTACTGAATACGTAGCGAGGGAAACCTGTTTCGGGATCTATCAGCATGAGAACGACCATGGAAACAAACCAAGAAAGTAGACAGCGTGAACAACAGTTGTTTTGCAGGTACACAGAGCTGATCAGGCTCTGCATCCCACTATTGTCCACAGCTTCATTGCGTGTGGTAGGACAAGAAGGCCACACGCCCCTGCAAACAAATCGGGTTTAAACTCCTGGAAACGGAGGGTGACACACACACACACAAACACCTACCAGCAAATCGTGGTCATATCATCCTAGAGAACCTAGTGCCGACCTAGCGCTGTCTTGCAGAATCAACGTAGTCTGCTGGGGGCCCGCTTGAGCATATAGGAGGTTTTGAACGCAATCCATATAATGTCCATGGGTGTTCATTCAGGGTCTGGTGCGCTCATGCACTGCCTCTTCTTAGAAAGCTCCAATGTTCCACCACCCAAACTGGGTGTGGACATGCCACATTGATTCAGTGGGCCACTTCGCCCTGCCAAGTTTTTACTCTGAGGTCAATCACCCCGTGATACACTGCACAAAATTCACAAAATATAGTTACCCTTTGGGATCCCAAGGTAAATCAACTGTGTGGTCTTTATTCTCAAATGGTTATGCCACCACATGCTGTGACGTGTATATAACTCTACTATTAAGTGTTGTCATGTCTGGAGGCCCCATGTGTTGATGGGGTGTCACTGTCTTAACATGTGCGCTGTGGTGACTTGTCAAGGTGACAAAGTGGAACGCTGTGCATACTACATTAGCGATGGCCTCCAACCTACTAGCAACTAGGCGACTAGGGTGAAGCCAGCGATGCGGTGAAGTGCACGGATGGTCATGTGATTTCTGTGATTGCACGGCATGTGCTGATTCGTGCTGTGGTGAAGGTGGTGGCCTTTTCGCGGCGGGTGAGTGCAGTGAAGTGTCATGTTTTGTGCGGCGAACTAGTCACGCTCCGCAGGCCCTCTGCAGGCCTTCCGCAGCGCCAGGAAGCGTTTCAATTTGGGTTCCCATAGCACCAATAAGGCCTCCTTCCCTCTCCCATTTTTGCAGACTCCACGTGTTTCCCATGCACACCCTCTCAGATTCCACGGACTTCGCCCAAAAAAGGGAACCGATCGAGGAACCCGCTTCGACGATCCGGTGGAAGGAACGACGACAGTCGTTCTCCTGGGTCTTGGGATTGGCGCCCGCCGGCTCAAAGACTTTGACGCCTTGAACGGGTCTTCGAACGGCCAGGTTTGGGTAGGGTAGGTGAGCTCCCAAGTAGGGGCACAAGTTCTCCATGCCCCGTTACTGTAAGATTATTTTAAAAAATAACAACAACATTAAAACATAGGCTTTGTTAGTTAAGGAGACCCCGCAGGGTCAGTTAAAACATAAAAAAAAGCAATCAGCACTTTGTCTTTTTGGTTCTGGGGCTATTCACGAAACGGTGGAAGACCGGCGTGTTCACCGGGGTCTCAGCTCCTCTGCGGATCAGAACCTTCTGCGCATCAGGGGGTCTGTTCATTGATCGAATGAGAACCTTCAGCTGGAAAATCAAAAAAGGAAACTCCGGAAACAAACAACATCGGATTGCAGTACCTGTTTTTTCTTTCTGTAAAACAGCTGTATCATGGATTTGAGTCATTTGAAACTGGACCAGTGGCCACCATCGACCACAAAACATATTCGATCCAACCGTGCGTTCGAAGACCGAAGGATCTTGAAGATGGGGTAAGAGTCATACGGGCATGGGTCAAAACCTGGAGCTCCAACCCCATGTAGCTTGACCTTCCAGGTAGGTCATTTCACAATCATCATTTTCGTTCACCTTCTTCAAACCCGGGGTACAACACCCCAAAGGATGCATGGGGAGCGCGCGGAGAGCGTCCGCAAGTCGTGTTAGCAAGGTATCCTGGTTTTGACCCACAGCCATACCTCACAAACCAAAGAAACAACACGTCCATACCTAGCCCATGAATTCGGAATTCCTCAGAGCCAAGGATTGTCATGTCAATCAAAAGACGGACCCTAGGCACCGCAAAAAATAAGACACAAACTGCTCCAAAATCGACTTTTTCAGGTTTTTGATACATGGGATGGTTCTGTTTCAGTTGGGTTCTTTTTTGAAGTGGAGGTCGCAAACTAGCTCTGAGATAGATAACACATCTAGTTTGCGACCTCCACTTCCTTGGGCTGGACTTTGTAGTCATGGAAAGTCTAATCTCCGGAAAAAAAAAGGGTTCCGTGGTGACTGGTGAGTTTCTTGGTGGTGAATGTAGATCATATGATATTTGCTTCTGTTACCCTATCTATCCTTATTTTTATGTCTTTGCCCGTTTGGCATCCCTTGGCCCTCTTGTTATCTCTTGCTGTGACAAACAAATGGCCGCTGGTGATTCGGAAATGGCAATCCATCCAAGCCCACACTGTCTATGGAATCGTTGCTTACATTAGTCTCATACATGGAGTAAATGTAATGTAAGTCTTCCCACGGATGGTTTGTGCAAGTTCAGTCCCCATGCTCCTCCGGGAAGGCCGATATCACCTTCATCGAAATCCTTGGGGCGTGCACGTCACGCCGGGACACCCAAGTCGGACCGAGGACCGAGGCGATTTCAGTCACCCGAGGATGGAGCTTTATTTGGGCAAACGAAACGCTGGTTCCAGTTCGACCAATGAAGCTGCCAGGAAAAATATCGACAAAGCTTGCCTTTCTTCATGTGATTTATGTCCAATCAAAAAAACAATTATAAACACATCTAGTGATGCTTTGTGACATACTTGTGTCCTTGTGGATTGCGACCGACCTGCGACCAACACCGCCTCCTCGACTCCGCGAGAACGATGACTGGCATTCTCCGACTGTACTTGCAACACTGTTTGCAGCAACAAGTGAGCTTGTCATGCCTTGGAACAACTCTTGAACTCAAAACTGAGTGTCAGATCTATCAAACCAGGACAACCATATGCTTGGAACTTCCGAAAGTGTCTTTTTGGATCTGCGGCGTGAAAAGGATCTATTGGAGTCACAGCCTTACATTTGAGTCTGCGGATGTTTCTCTTTCTGGTCTTCCACAGGCGTTATTAGTGAACCGTGGGCATTCTTGTTTACCCGAACGTGCCTTTTCAGCGGATGTTATTTTGGTTGCGGATGTTTGTGTGGTTCACAAACCTAAATAAAGGTATGTTAAACACCCACAAGGTGGCAGGTATTATAGTCATGAATAGGTTATTAAAAAAAAAAAACACACACACACACATTAAAACATATTAAAACATATTAAAACAACACCAAAAGATACATGCATGATCGCTCTATCAGATTGGTGGACAACTCCAGAAGTCCAATGTCTTCGATCCGAGATGCCATTCCTCGGCAAACTCATCGACTCGCCCAAGTCAAGCACTGAACTTGGATGCTTCCGCTCTGAAACCCCACAAAACATGGACGAGTCGACCTCCTGTGCTAACATCGACCTCTTAAGAGCTTTTGGACCGGCGGAGTCCGTTCGTCTGTCCTGTGCCGCCCAGGAGTCCGTCCGTTCATCCAGCTGCAAGGAGGCCACGAAGGCCCTCCAGCGGCTCCGCTGGATCGCCTGATGGTGTCCGGATCGGTCGTCGTGGACGTGACACCGGTGAAAGCGGTGACGCCAAGCGAAGCCGATGAAGACGAAGCTTTTTGCAATGCATTGCGTTCGGCGCTTTTTGGGGTTGAAGAGTGCTACTGTACTAAGAGAGCTTGGGATGCTGTCGTTCCCTCCAAATCCGGGTGGATCATGGCATCCCAACACTGTCCGAACTCCTGGAGTGAAATCCAAACAACTTCTTGTTTGCCAGGACCTTCCGTTCGTGAACGAACGGCTTTTGGACACTCGGAAAAAAAACCTACGAGGCTATCCGAGGGCGAGACTCGTTCGACACCTCCTTGCGTGAAGGTCCTGGAGGATCCTTTTCGGAGAGTACCAGGAGACTTTCTAGAAGCGATGCACTTGTTCCTAGTAGCTTATTACACACCAGACTGGTCGACTTTCAGATTTCCAGGGACCTTCCTGTCGAGGTCGTTTCGGACTGGTCTCCAGACCTCTTGGAGCCTCTTGGAAGGTTCACTGGTTCCCACACACACACACAGGGTCGAAGAACTTCCACATGGAACCGATGGACAACGTGTGGTGTGTTCCCCTGAAACCCAGGTCACTTTGGGAAAGCTCTGGAACACATAAGACGATCTAAACACATCTCAAAACAGCATCTATTCCTGGACCTTCCAACAGGTGGTTCTTGAACACTCCTTAACCTCTACTTAGAGCCTATTTATAGACACCTCTTGGAAGGTCCTGGTTAGAGGCATATATTAGTCCAATTAGATGCAATATATAGACCTTGCATCTCGACTCTCGACTCGTCTCGGTCTCTCGACTCGTCTCCACTTGTCTATCGACTGGGAGTTGACCCAGTCGAGTGACTTGGAACATCCAAATGGGGTCCGCTGGTTTCTGACTCTTCACCAAGGATGTCAAGGCGACTGAGAACAAGCGACCCGGGACCGCTTGTCAATATATCTTAAGAGATAAGGATACAACAGACCTGCCTACTTTCATAAGGGATTGTATTAATGGAATATCCATGAATATCCCATGTTCGTCCAGCCGCTTGAAGGCCCATCTCAACTGTCAAAAGAGTTGGACTGTGCTGGTTCACCCTGACACACGGTTCGTTCAATACGGAAAAGCCTGCACCAACGGGGTTGTGCAAACAAAAAGGCCAAAGTTTCGTGCTTGGCAACCATATGCCAAAAGGATTCCAAAAAGGGTCACGGGGGCGCTCCCGCAGGCGTGACCGCCTTCAGGGTGTCCAGGATCACTTCTCCGCGAGAAAGCCTCGTCGACTCGACTCGACTCGTCGACTCGACTCGACTCGTCGACTCGACTCGACTCGCCCGTCCCAGGAGGAACTTCCGTCATTGCGACCAGGGGTGGTGGTGTGTCTTAGTCGCTCACTTTGGTTCGTGAGTGGAGAGAGGATAGATCCTCCAAGTCACCCGCACGAGGCGTACGACGTCGAGCTATGTGTGGAACGACTGCATGGTACTTGGACCGACCTCCAAGTTCTGAGCATTTTGAGCTGACCAGAACTTGTGCAGAGCTAGGTGGAATGCCATCTCTGTCCATGGCGACAGAAATGGCCCCAAGGACGACCTCCAAAAGCCGGGATCGGATCTTCTCGACAAATTGGAACCTGACGAACATGATACAACAACAAAAAGTGTGTTTGTGTTTCAATGATTTGTTTCTTGATAATCTATTGATATATCTATTGTATATATATAAGTGTTGTTTGCAAGTGGAGGGCTCAGCCCATGGTGTTCTTTTCATTGATGTTCGGTCGTCGGATCCGACGTCGGATCCGGTCGGATCCGACGGCTTCGGATCACCCGTGGCCCGTGGTGTTTCTGATCGATGGGACAACAGCAGTGAGTGCGGAGGGACAACAGCAGTAAGCACCAACAGCAGTGTGCATCTATGATCATCGAGGTGAAGCTCTTGCAGCCAAGATCTCGAGAGATGAGTGAGAGACAAACAGGAGAATTCTCAAAACGAAGACCCCGGTATTAGAGGATCAATGCGGCAGCAGGTGGACCAAAAGAGGAGGACCTCCAAACTCCCTTTGAGATGGCCTTGTTGTTCGACTCGTCACCAGCTTCTGCGGAAACACAGCTTCTGCACGCGCGCACACACGCACACAGTCTTCCCTCTGATGTTGACTCACGGCAATACAAGGACAAATGGCCCGTCCGACGATACCTCGCTTCAGTGACCTTGTTTGCCGGTGTTTCGTGCTGCAAAGCATGGAAGTAACAATTGGAGTGTCTCAATGTCCCGCAGCTCTTCCATCAATCCGCAAAACATCTTACACTCCGACTCACTAACATGGAAGTGGAACAAAAACTGTTCGTAAAGGAAAGTAGTCTTCCAAAGGACCATTTTCCACTTCCATGTCAATGTGATGTGTTCGTCAGAGCGTAACTATCCCAAACGCATCCGCACCATTCAACCATTCAACCATCCGCTGTACCCTGTCTGTACGACTAAGTCCGTGGTCCACCGCCACCGTCCACCGTTTTCCGGGAAGAAGAGCTTCGGACGATCCGGTCGCCTCGAGTCGGAGTCGGACGCGTCGGGTCGCGGGGGTTCCCCGGCGATACACCAGGTTTCACTATGTTTCACGGAAATGGATGGTATGGCCATGTATGGCCCCTTGGAAGATGGAACACCACGTCCTCTTTTAGTGAGGAGTGTACACAACCTTTTCCCCACCCGACCTACCACCCACCTACGCACTTTGGCCACCGGACCTGGCATGACCTTCACTGTCTTGGGCCAGGGAAGCATAGACGCCACAGAACTGCCTGAAGGGCAAAGCTGAAGGGCGAGGCTGAAGGGTTTTCGCCTTTAAAACCACAGAAAGACCATGAAAAACGCATATGTTCCCACACTTTTCTATGGAGTTGTGTTCTTCTTCCAGGGCAGTTCATCATCGTGTGAAGATGGACATGCTTGGCGATTCCAAATTGGCCGCCACTTCCGACGACGGAAACGACCCCCGGAAACGCGTTCAACTCTCACCATCCATGGTTTGGGTGCCGTCAGCATTGATTGCTAACATGAAAACGACGGATCCACCAATCAGTGCAGCACCAAGGGGAGGGGCTGAGGGTCAGAAAATGAACCCGAATAGACCACCAGGGGATCAGGCAACCTAAGGAGGGTCCACTAAGGGCTGCCAGTTTTGACCCACTGCCAAATATATACTATACATAAGCTGTGTGAAGCACAAACAATGCTTTTTCTTTTAATGGCTTCATCCAGCATCGATCTCGCCATGGCACGAAACAAGGAGGTTAAAGAAGAAGCTGTAGATGAGCAGCATGAACGCTGAGACAATCTCAGCAGCCAGCAATGATCGAAAGAACCGGAGTTGTTTGAGTTGGGCGCGGCTGAGCTGAACATATTTACTCTGCAATTCACTATTGGCATGCTGCCAAATGCTTAAAATATGCCAAAGAACCATGCATATCAACTTACAGTATCAAACAGCCACGGGCATGATTCTCGCCCTGGTTCTGCCGAATCATGCGTTGATGACACGCAACAGGAAAAGGAAAACATGCAGCCTACAGTCTCAGCTGGTACAGCAAAAAGGCAGCGAAAACAATGTGGTTTTGCAGGTTTTACATGGCTTTACTGTAGATGTAGTGTTTTTTCCTGGGCAATGTTTAAGACATCGGCATATTGAAGAAATGACACCTTTCCTTGCACTTGCCACCCCTTTCCCAGCATGTGTCCTGGGTGGTGTCAGGATATGTGCACTTCCCACGGCTAAATCTAAACAACATTTCCGCCGTTTTGGGCCTAAGTCACCAAAAAATGGACCAAATCCCTATAAAACCCTCAGGTGGAAAAATATGCTTCATACACATGGCCCGTGGCAGATTGAAAGGCGTCAACCATGCTAGAATTTAGGTGTAGAAGGAAGAGTGAAAACATGTGAAAACCCCGAGAGTGGTTTCAATCTCAAAAACGCAAAACAACCTAGGACCTATAGAACCTGAAAATAGTCAGAACAAATCATTCTCAGTACAAATAAAACATTGCCAACCAGTCGTTAACATAGAACATTTAAAGATGGACCCTCTGCGGACCAGGAGAAGTGTTCTTTCTCCATGTGCGTCTGAACAACCCGTAGTGTCGGGGACCCCAAAACTACTTGATTACTTGGTGGTCACGACTTGGAAACCAAGGAACGAGAAGGAGAAATGGACTCTCCTCGGCCAGGTTCTTCAGCTCGCCCTTGGGGTTCAAACAGCCGCAACGGACATGCGGAAAATCCAGCGAAACACACACCCTAAGAATCCGGGCCCGAAGGGAAGGGTTTGGTTCGGGACCGCTGTGAAGAGGTCGGGTCCGAATCTTAGGGCAAATGAATGATGGTCGCTTTTGAACACCTGCTAACACACTTCGGTCACACCTCAAGGATGTGCCACACCGGCAACGGATGGTGCCTGGTCTTCAGCACTGGACCAATCATGAGAATTGCCACGTTTCTTGACCGACAAAGTCTTCAAAACTTTGCCTGAGGCGGGTGTGTTCATCAGGTGCAGGGTTTGCCACAGTAGCCTGCCAAGGACTACTGTAGACTCTTGATGACACTTCAACCTGCAGGCCTGAAGAGGTTTTACAATCCATGTGTTTTGGGGGTTTACGATTCATGGAAGAATGGGAATAAAACAAGATGGAACCCACGAACCCGAATGCAAACACGTACTCGAAAACAAGCGCCCAAACATTTTTTGACACGTTTGTAGGGGACACTCTTGTTGAACGCTCTTGTGGGGCACTCTCGTGCGACACTTTTGTCACTCTGTGGGACGCTCTTGTGGGACATTCTTGTAAGAACACTCTTGTGGGACACTCACGTTGGACACTCACGTAGTAATCGTATGTAATTTGACCACATAAGCTGACAGTTCAGAGGCCACAGCTCCCAGAAGCCGCTTCCCGCACTACATTTGCACTACCAGTTCTGAGGCCACAGCTCCCACAACCTGCTTCTCGCATTACATGTGTATACTACAAGTTGCCAGTTCTGACGCCGCAGCTCCCAGAAGCTGCTTTCTGTACTACATGTGTACTACCAAGTGGCCAGTTCTGAGGCCCACAGCTCCCAGGAGCTGCTTCCCGCACTACATTTGTGCTACAAGTTGCTACTCTTGTGGGGCACTCTTGCGGGACACTCTTGTGGAAAAACTCCTGTAGGACACTCTTGTGGGGTACTCTTGTATGACACTCACTCGTGTGGGACACTCTTGCAGGAAATTAAGGCTTGTGGGACACTCTTGTGGGACACTTGTAGGACACTCTTGTAGGACACTTTTGCGCCACCCCTGTAGGGCACTCACGTGGGACAACAAGAGTGTAGGACCCTCTTGTAGGACACTCTTGTCGGCCACTCTTGCGGGACACTCTTGTCTGACACTCTCGTGGGACACTCACGTACGACATTCTCGCACTACACTCTTGCACCACATTGCGAGACACTCTTGTAGGACACTCTGGCGGGAAACTCTTGCGGGACACTCTTGTAGGACGCATTCTTGTGAGAAACCCTTGTGGGACACTCTTGTGGGACAGCTTGTATGACACTCACTCTTGTGGGAAACTTTTGCGGAACACTCTTGTAGGACGCTGTCTTGTGGGACACTCTTGTCGGACATCCTCGTTTGTTTGGCACTCTTGTAGGACACTCTCGTCCGTCACTCTTGTGGGACAGTCTTGTATGGCACTCACTCTTGTGGGACACTCTTGCGGAACACTCTTGTGGCACACTCTTGTGGGACACTCATGTACTCTTGTGGGACACTCCTGTGGAGCACTCTTGCAGGACACTTTTGTCGGACACTCTTGTGGGGCACTCTTCCGGAACACTCTTGTAGGACTCTCTTGTGAAACGCCCTTGTAGGAATCTCTTGCAGGACACTCTTGTATGACACTCTCGTGAGACACTCTTGTAGGACACTCTCGTCGGACACTCTTGTTTATCACTCTTGTAGGTCACTCTTGCGGGACACTCTTGTAGGTCACCCTTGTGGGGCACTCTTGCGGGACACTCTTGTGGAAAAACTCTTGTAGGACACTCTTGTGGAGTACTCTTGTATGACACTCACTCGTGTGGGACACTCTTGTAGGACATTCAAGCTTGTGGGACACTCTTGCGGAACACTCTTGTGCAGACATTCTTGTAGGACACTCTTGTGGGACACTCTTGTGGAACACTCTTGTCGCGCACTCTTGTGGGACACTCGTGTGGGGGGCACTCTTGTAGGACACTCTTGTCGGACAGTTTTGTGGGACACTCTTGTAGGGCTCTGTAGGACACTCCTGTGGGGCACTACTACTAAAGTCTCCAAAAATCACCCATCAGGTCTCCAAAATGAGCGTTTCGCGCGAGATATCCTCAAAAAGTCAAGCGGGGCGGGAAGGCCCATCGGAGCACGCGCATCAAGCAGCCCTGCCAAGCAGTTTCGCGATTCCACCCCTCCAGAAAACACCCGCTCACATGCCAACCCCACTGTCACAGCGACAATCACCTCCGCGCGTACCACGCAAATTCGCGCGTCCACACCTCCAACACACAGAAAGTATATACTGCGCCTGCCACGAAATGTGGCCACCGCCACACCCCGTAACTTCACGATTCCTTGCGCCTGCCGCGAAAATTGCACTTCCACACCTCAAATACCGCACAAAGTACTGCGCCTGCCACAAAAAGTGACTATATATTATATCATGTCAGATTCAGCAAAATTTGCCAAGCCACACATTTGGAACGATTTCGACACGTTCTGAGCACACTCCCACCCACCCAAGTCGCCATAATTTGAGCTGAGACTTGTCACAAAAACACAGCTTCCATGAAAGCCAAATCCCAATGTCACAGCCACATCCAACACCCCCAAAACACCACCCTCCAAACGCCAATCCCAACCTGACTGCGAAGAAGAATCTGCAAATGCACAAACCGCTGCGCCTGCGCAGTGAAATCACATCACTTCATCCTCTCACGTTTCCACACGTTTCCTCGCTATTTCACACGAATCTGACGCGTCATGCTTCCATCCAAAAGCTTCAATGTGAGCGCCATAGCGCCCTACTGCGAAGGGTTGCGAACACTTGCGAAAGGTTGACAATGGTTGCGAACGCTACGACAACGAGTCGCGAACAAGGCTCTATACCCCCAGACCCCCAGAGTTAAACGAGAACCCTTCGCTATGCATTCGGGAATTAAACAGTACAAACATGTACGAAACACATACATGTGTGTTTTTGCAACATGACTGTTTGCACAAAATTTTCAGCACCGACTTGCGCTTTTTTGACTCGGCAATAACATTGCCGCAGGTTCATCCTGTTGTTTCTTATCTTCCACTCAGCTGTTTGGTGCCTTTGCTTTAGGACTTTCGAGAGCATATACAATTCTTTACACAGCTACATGGTCCGGGGGCTCCTTACAAAAGTAAATTCAATACATTGCACGTTCTCATCCTCCGCCCCAAACCCCTCGACCCGACCTGTGGTTCCTTCTTCTTCCTGTGCCCATTTCTGCCCAGTGTCCAAGTCCAGCATTCCCACGGCCAGTTGGATCAAATTGGTCATGGTCGCTCCCATGTCCGTCCATTCCTCACCGCGGAATCCGGAACTTCATCGGTGCGGTGACCAACCGGCGAAGTTCCACGCCCCCCAAGAGTTGCGCAGGGCGCGCGTAGCGCGTAGTACGCGAGGAGGGTGGTCGTACCAGTCTGACTGAACTGAGAATCAACGAATTGTAGACTGTTGATTCATCAAGTCCCATCCATGTATTTTGTTGAGTTGGGATTGTATGTCAAAGACCTCTTCGTCTGGGAGCTTTCTTCATCAACAGTCTACAATCTAACACCAGGTGTGGTTCTTTTCTATAACAACTGGTTTCCAACACCCAGTCAAACCTGAACAAACATCGAACAACGAACCCATCACAGCCCCGCCCCAGTGCGCTTTCATTGGAAACAAAACCCTTCAGTGATCCACATGCCTTTTCGGCGGCCCAAGGGTCCGCTGTTCGTTTCGGTGTCCGTTGCACGAATTCGTGGTGTGCTGCGTATACAGTATACGTATCTCATCAGGTATCGTCGCGACATACAACATCATGATAAGCAAATGGACTGCATCAATCGGACAAGTATCCTCCAAACAAAAAAACAAGAGAGGTTAAGTGACCGTAAATAATAGGACCCTACTGAGGTACCTATGGGATAGTCTATAGGGTCATTCAACCTCTGTTGGAAGTGATCATGTTTTCACAGGACCGGGCCGGGGCCGGGGCCAGCTGCAACATCAGCTACCCGATCTACCCGGGCCAGTCATCTCAGTGACTGGAAAGAAGAATCCCCTCGAAAGAACCACCCGTGTGAAGGTGCGAAAGGGGTGTAGGGGTGCGAAGGGTAGCCCATTTGATGAAACGCACAGAAATTACAAATACGCATCATGTATAGATCATGTGCAAACAATGACACCCATGATGGTGTTCAATGTTCGAAGCCTGTACTGTTTGTTATGTTTGTTGCGTCGTTTTCATGGAATGAAGGTAGAACCAGAAAGGTGGATTTCCCTGAGTCCACCCACCAACAAGTTGGGTTACTGCCAGTGCGGGAAAGGACCAAGTTGAGCAAATCACTTTTGGTATCTTTTGGTCAAGGCTCATTGCTTGAGAGGTTTGCAACCTGCAAATGATCGAGCAACGGGCGCAGCACCGACTCCACAGACGTCGTGTCGTCTTGTCTCAAGGATTCAACCGGACCGCTCTAAATGGAGGTTTCAACGGGTGACTTGGTGTCAAGCCCTGGTTGAGTGCTCAGGTTGCTTCCAGGTTCTCTCTCTCTCTCTATCCATATACAGTATATGTATACACCTCTGACACCTCTCTGTGCATTTGTATATAATATATATATATATAGAGAGAGAGACATTGTGTAATAATAGATATCCTCACTCCTGTGCCAGCATGAGGCCAGTATGCCTAGAGTCAGCTTTGTCAGTCAAACAGGAAGAATATTCACTGTTCCATGTTGTTTGTGTCACATTCGGCTTGTGTGGACCTTTCAATAATTTACTTCTGGCTCTACCTCTTAAAATGGAAAACTCAACCTATTTACGCAAGCTGTATATCAAAACATACTGTGACATACTGTAACGACTGTAACTGTTACGATTGTTATGTTTGATATGTTCGTAGTGTTGTTTTTTTTTTTTTTAAACCAGGTGAACTCCATGCAGTTCTGAGTCCAGACTCAGCCTATCAGGTGAAGACATTCTTGAAATCTGCTGTGGAGTCTTAACTGGCTCGGGATGGCTCTGGGGCTTTTACCAAGAATCTTCCACTCGTCATATACTCTTGGCTCACATCCAAAAGATCTCCAGCAGAACAATGAACCCGCTTGATGGTTGGTCAGTCAGGGCACGCAAAGATTGTATACAAAGATTGTAGACCAATCCGTCTTCCACTTCACTTGCGGTTAGCGGTTAGGGTGTCTTGGAAGTTGGAACTCCCAAATACTCGAGTAGGGAAGATAAGACGATCCTTTGATTGGAGATCCTATCTAAAACAAAAAATCACGTGGGTGTTGCAACATGGCTCTGGGTCAAAATCGGAGCCCACAACCGAAACGGTGGTCTATTCTGTTCACTCGCAGACAATCCGGTCAGCGGGAAAGTCGCATCCACGACACACAGATCGATGAATGCTCAGAAATCAAATTGGAGATGGCAAAGAAAGGGCCAGCAACAAATTAAAAGCTACAGAAGACGATCAAAAGGAAAAGACCAAGATTCAGCAGAACGTCCTGCTCCAGAGGCAAGGACTCTCTGTTCATGTTCGCTGGTGAACTGGGGAGTTTTGACCCACAGTTACATGGTCACCGTTGAGCTTGACGACTTCGCCCTACAAAAGACTTGCGTGTTTTTCCCTGCAGGTCTATCTGTAGGTCATTGCAGCATCTCTGCAGGACCAATGAGATCATTCTCTAAAAAGATCGCTCAAATCTCATCCCGTGTGAATGGCCTTCTTTCTTTCTTTGTTGCGCCGAATTGGCCGGAATAGCGGAACACGAAAACAAAGCGCAATTTTGCGCACCTCACGAGTCATAGCAGTGATGGCGAATGCGAAGGTGAAGATGGCCAAGACGACAACACCAAAGCAAAGCATCACCTGGCCAGCAAGGCTCAGCAAGGTCAAACGGTGAGACCCACACAAAAAACACACATAAAAGAGGTGTCAGACTATGTCACACTCAGTCTCACAGGGTGTTTTCGCGACGTTGGCGTTGTAGGTGACACGCATGTTTGGAAATTGATTGGTGCTCAGCGGTATGTCTGACGCCTGGGAATTCCTGGAAATCCACTGGTGAACACTCACCCCTGAGCGGCTTTGAAGCATACCTTGGGTGGGAGGTCATGTAGACTCTTGATTCACACCCCCCCCCGATGGTGGATTCATCAATGTCAATGAGATTGAATACCTTTGCGCGAAAGACCCAAACCCAGACACTCCATGTATGCCATATATGCCTACATTGAACCCCCCTGGCACCACCCCAACTGATCGGCATATATGGCAGTCCCATGGAGTGTCTGGGAACAAGTTTTAGAGACTTCACTGCTTCGCGGTCGACTGATCTGGACTCCCAGCTCGCCGACCTCCCACCGCTATAGCGGCTTTTTTGGCGGTTGAGGGTGGCCGCTTCAGACGGATCTGGACGGCCGGAAGCCGCCTGCTTCACGGCCTTCAAACACAAGACTCGGTACTCGGAGATCTCGATGGAGATGCTACTGCCAATGCCGAAGATCAACAGGACATACCTGACGATCATTCGGCCAGCACTTCAAGGCACCCAGGGGGAGCGCTTCAAGGGCCTTGTGGTGTCGGGATGGATGGGAATGAAAGGCCAAGAAAGCTCTCCCCTGCCCAAATACCACGGATGTGCCGCACTGAAGGATTACTTCATCTCTTCGTTGGGGATGGGACGGCCACACGGTGACGGCAAGATACTGCAAGAACCGGGTTTCCGCATGCAGCCGGGCTACTGGATCGGTTGAATCCTAGGTTTGCACCTGAAAATGGGCAGTCTTGAAGAGCTTTAGGCTTTAGGGCTCTCATTTTCCACGTTGGAGGCTCCAGGATGCCTCTATACCAACTAGTCGTTGGCACACACTTGATAGCGTGGGCCTAGTCGTTGCACATGTTTGATAGGCGGCGGTGGCGTGTTGGCTATTGGACACAAATTTGTATGGCATTGCGATACCAGCAAGCCTGTGGCCAATGAATCTGGAAACTAAAAAGATCTAAAAGGATCTTGAAGGGTCAGGGTCATGTCCTTCTCCACGATAGTCATGGAACTAGTCTGCCTAGGCAAAAGTGCCATGGGATCGTCACACTCAGCAACTCTCTATATTGAAGTACTGAAGGTTGAATGAGTGGTTACATAGATCGACATTTCGGTCAGCTATGATTCTGAATACACGCAAACACAAATAGTGAATGTCGGTCACACGTTCAGTCCCAAATTTTCACTGCGGAAGTTCCCGAATGCGCGCCGTGCCGTAAAAGAATCTTATACAAAAAGTCTTAATTAGTAGAGTCCCCAAAGAGGGTCAGTGAACCACGCCTCCACTTGGGTATATCCCATGACCAGTAACAGTGGACGATGATGGTTTGTAAAGGCCCTTATCAAAAATAGTGATATTGTTCACCGACGATTACAAGTAATGAGACAGACCCAAGGGATATCCCTTGATCAAAAAAAACGCCCAACCGTGATTCTTTGGTCCGGGATGCAAGTGCCTCACAACCCCTAATTCATCCTCATTCAACTCTGAACTGCCACTTGGTTGACTTGTCTTTGGTGCCGACCAACAATGTATCAGTGTTCCGGTAGTTCCTATTGATGGCCTTTCTGAATGCCTTCTGGCGGCAGAAAAATTCCGACGACCAGGAAGAATTCGTAAGCCACACCTGGGTGAGACGCCCACAGATCCCAAGCGGATCGAAGGGCTGCAAAGCCCCTTGGGTACGTTTCTCATCCATGAAGACTGAAGAATCACAGACCAACCCAGATCTATCTCCGTACACAGCCAGAATTTAACAAAAATCTGGAAAGCTCTAAATTGACAACCCTTTCCCTTAAAATCCTGCAGCACACCTATGGCGCCTCAAGCGAGGGATTTCCTTACTTTGAATGATCCCCACCATGGCTAATATATATTGTTGAGAACCGCCGGCTATATTGCTCTAGAAAGCGTCTATCGTCCATATATGTGTGTGTATATATATATACAGGCATTCTAATAATGTTTGTCAATTTTGATACTGTCGGGGGCATAGGTAAAGTCTGTTTACTTTCTTTTGCACTACGTAGCTCGCCAGGTGCCTATGGCACAAAGAAAACAATCTGGCATCACCCACCGTCTGATCGCAAGACGATTCTTCGTGGGAGCTGGTTGCCTTCAGGTCGTGCAAAGTAAGATTGGAAGTATTTTTGACAAAATGCCTTGTGATGGTCCAAGCTAACAGCCCTGACAAGGAAGAACTTTAGAGCCTACGAATACGCAAGAGCCGCTGAACCCGCAACTCATGC